GGCTGGCGAGGGTTTCGACACTGGGCGGAAGGGGGGGGGGGAGCGCCGTCGGAAGCCGTCTTGGGGGCCTGTCTGGGTCGTCTTGGGGCTCTCTTGGGGCATAGCAGGGGCTTTCGGAGAAAAATAAAAAAACACCCAAATGCCCCAAAACACCAAATAGTGTGCTTCAGTATTTTTGAACATTCCCCCTGTAGAAGAACAGGCCCGACTTAACGCTGGGCGGAAAGGGGGGGATGCGAGGCGGGAGATTATCCATGTCCACCGCCTGGCAACCGACGTCCTGGTGCCCCAGCGGGGGGTGAATATGGATACATATATATATGTATATATATATATACGCACGCACATATATGTATACATATATATATACAAAATATGTATGTACATTTATACATACTAGAACCCACGCGCGCGCTACGCGCGCGCGTAGATTCTAGTCATAATTAGCTTCTCCAAGGCTCTCCGCAACCACAGCCAATCTCTACGGCTGCGAGTCCGAAGAGCCCCGGCGCGACTCCTTCTCCGTGCTGTTCGGCGCTCCTTCCCCGAAGGAGATCGCGCTGGAGAGTAGAAAGGGAGGAAGTCTCGAGCAGGGGTGCCGTTGTTGCTGGGAGCGGCGCCAATGCAGGAGAGAGTAGGGCGCTAGTCCAGTGTGAAACAACACGAAGTCTCGAGCGGGAGCCGCGGTTTTGTCGGGACGGGGGCTGTCGGCGGAGAGGAACAGCACCGTCTTCAGGAAAAAGGGAGGAAGTCTCGAGCGGGAGCGTTGTTCTTGCTGGGGGCGGCGCCAACTCAAAAGAGATTCGGGCGCCAGTCCAGCGCAAAACGGGAGGAAGTCTCGGGCGGAAGCGCTGGTTTTGCTGGGGCGGTGGTTTTCGGCGGCGAGCCAAAGCACCGGCCCTGAGCAAAAAAGGAAGAAGTCTCGAGCGGGAGCGTTGTTCTTGCTGGGGGCGGCGCCGATGAGAGAAAGAGTAGCGCGCTAGTCCAAGGTGAAGCGGGAAGAAATCTCGAGCGGGAGCGTCGGTTTTGTTGGGGCGGCGGTCTTCGGCGGTGAGCAAGAGTCAAGATCACCAACTCTGGAAAAAAATTCTCGAGCAGGAACGTTGTTGTTGCTGTTGTTGTTGTTGTTGTTGTTGTGGGGGGGGGCCTGTTTTGGCGCCCCCCGAAATCGAGCGTGAGCCTCATTTGAAAGGAAAGTGTAACCGGCGCCGAGGCGAGAGCGCCAGGGCGCCTGGGTGGGTCCAACCATAATAACGTCAACACAACACCAACACCACCAACAACAACAACAACAACAATCATTTTACCCGAACGCTCAGTGTTCTCCCCAGTGCCAGGGTTTTCTTGCGACACCAGCCAATACCCCCACTTCGTGGGGGGGCCGTTCAAGCTCTACCAAATATCCAAACGACTCTTCGAGACCACCCACACCCAGCTTCCCGCCCTATGACGTTGGGACACTTCACTTCGTGGCGTGCGGACGACCCTGGCTACTACACTGGCGTGGGGTACACACCCACAGAGGTTGATCACATCTGTTACATATGATGTGGTACACGGTACACGTGAGATGGTACGCAGTGCCAAGATAGTTGGTCACATTTTTGGGGCAAATTCGTGGGGATGCGATTACAGAAGTACATGTGTTACACTGATGTTATACAGTCCCAAGGATGACGCATGCATTGCTCATAGACTCATGGCGCTATGATCCTAACTCTCAGTGCCCAACGCGCGCGTGCACAGCCAGACGGAGGGAGAGAAACACATGTATACAAGGTTCGTGACATACGCACGGTCCACCATGTTGTAAACGATCGCATGCACGGTAAGTTCTGAAATTATACGTATGTACAAGCAGACATGCGAGGGAGAAAGGGAGATGGCCATCGACAGTTCCAATACGGCTCCAAGGCGGAAGAGGGGGAGGAGGAGCAGGACAAGGAGGAAAGGAGAGAAGCGAGAAAGGAAGAACGCAGACGGCGCGGCTCTGGACACAAAGGGGTGCCATACTTTCTCCTGCTTTCGCAAACAGGTCCAGTCACACGTAGGGGTATACTCAACCGAATGGTCTTCGCATCCAGAAGCATACTAAAGGCGCGACGCATCGTCGTCTGCGATGGCGCGGAGCGGGCGCGTGGGTGCCCGGCTGCCTGGCTGATACACGTGCGGGCCTGGCTGATACCCGTGCGGTCCCAGATGCCCAATGAGATTGCCGATACGCCTGCTGGCGGGAAGGCCGGTGCTTGCATACGGCAGTGCTACCGCGAGCACGTTGTGGACCTGCGGTGGCAAGGCCTGGTAATCGAGCATGTTCGGAAGCTCGTCGCTCTGACCATACGACCGCCATACGGGCAACCACCACCACTGGTCTTGACGCGGATACGTGATCTCTGTGCCGACCTCAGGGGATACGTTCCAAAGGGCCATTTTCTGCGGGTCCGTACCCATGAAGGCCGCGTGGTACGCAATGAATACGTCCAAGGTGGCCAGGGCCCTGTAGGAGAGGCCGGATACGATCTCCGCATGAATGGGAATAGCGAGCTGACCGAGCAAATACCGCATACTGCGATACACCCACTGGCCCGGGTGGACGAAGAGGTTGGCTTTCCAGGCGACGATACCTGCTGCGGTGCACAGCGTGTCGAATACGTGCACAAGGTAGCCAATGGGCTTCCCAAGCCTCTCATCCTGGAATACCGAGAAGTTCCCGAATACCGCGTTCGCGTAAAAGTACGCGTCGAAGTACAGCCATTCGGGCTCGGCGATGCCCCCCATACTGTGCTGGTACTCCGGGTCGTTGTTGATCTTCGACTGCCCCGTGGACATACCGCTCGATACGGCGAGGCACACGCCCGTAACACCCTCCCATAGAAGAGGGAAGAAGATACCGCACGCGAACCACCTTTCCGAGCCACACTGCTTCAACCAGCTGGTGGCGTATGCCAGCGATCCATACTCGAGCTCACTGCGACCCTATCTGGCACATACAGTGGTGGATCCAACTGTCGGAGCGCCCGGCATAATTTGAAAGCGGTATTATACTCAATGCCCAGGTGGCGGATGGCAGAGCCGTGCTGCTCCTCCAGCTCCTTGGCGCTAGAAATACTGACCGTGCCAGTCACAACCCGATACTTGGCCCACCAAGTCTTGCACGCCTGGTGACTAGCATTGATACCCTTTGCCCGGAGCGCCTGATGCAAATAATACGCACTCTCGCAGTCGGCCAAGGGAGGCCGCGACAGCTCAGGGCCATACTGCTCGTGAAGGTCTTTCGCCGTCAAAGCCATGATCCAAGAACACAGGCGATACCTTGATCCGAGATGGCTACGGATATGTGCGTCAGCAGTCGGGGGCCTTCCTGGGGCCGCTTGGGGTCCTCTTGGGGAAGGGGGGAAGCCTCCTGGCGCGGTTTGGGGTCCACTTGAGAGCCTTTGGGGGGCTCCTTGGAACCATCTTGGGGCCTCTTGGGGGCTTATTGGACCCTCACGGCGGACTCTTGGGGCCTCTAGAACGCCTCCTGGGGCCATCTTGGGGGTCTCTTGGAGCCACCTTGGAGCCTCTCTGGAACCTCTTGGGGGCCTCTTGGAGTCCTCTTGAAGCCTCTTGGGACCATCTTGGGCGCCTCTTTGGGCCTCATGGACGCCTCTTGGGGCCATCTTGCGCGCCTGTTGGGGCCATCTTGGGTTTTAAAGATTCATCAAGAGACCGCGAATGGATTTCGAGATTTTTCGGATGAGAAAGTAGTGCGTTTTCATATGTTTTCTGAACATCGCATCTTGAAATTATTGAAAACCCATTGTGTTTGGCAGGATTTCGACATGCGCGCGCGGCGGCCGCGCGCATGTGCACTTCGTCTCATTTTTGCAAGGGATGGTGGCCCTCGCAGGCGCGCAACCGTTGTTGGAGAAGTTCAAAGCACCTGAAGAAGTAGCACGCAAAGACCCTTTTGACAGAAATGTTTAAAAAGTGGTGTGTTTCCTATGAATCCGCAAGAGCGCGCGGAAGGACATTTTGACAATTTTTTCTTAAAAAACCATTGGGTTTTTGATGTTTTTATGTTAAAATCGCTACGAAACCTAAGGTTTTGGAAGGATTTCGTCTTGCGAGCGCGAATGTCCACTTTACCTTATTTTTTGCAAGGGATTCTTGAAATTTGATCAACTAAGAACAAGAATTTTCATTTTCTATTGTTTTTTGCAAGGGAAAACGAGCGTCAACAAAAAACCGGATCCGGGGGTAATCCACTTTTCTGAAGCTTTCGCAGAAAAATGATGAAAATGTAGCTGCGGCCTAGGTTTTGGGCGGGGGGCGTGCACCAGGGGGTCCAACAATAATAATTCATTAGAAGTAATAGTGTTCAACAACAACAACAACAACAACAACAACAACAACAACAACTACAACTACAACAACAGCAACAGCAACAGCAACAGCAACAACAACAACAACAATAGCGCAACAAGCATAATCCTCACCACAAATCCCCACTAGAGCCACGCACCCAGGGACAATGAATGACCGTTCGGCACCCTCACTCTGATTCACGTCATTCTTCGTCCCCCTGTGCTCGCGAGTTTGCCCGACGGCCCAGAGACGGCGAGCAAAAGATGCTGCCGGCGGCCCCCCAAAGACAGCCCCTACCGACGGGCCCAGGAGCGGGACAGAGCCGGCACCCCAGGCCGCGGCGTGCCCCTCGCGAAGCGGCGCGCATCTTGATCTCGCTCCTCGTCGGTGCAAACTTGTTCGCTTCGTTGATGGCTCTCCTCAAACGGGCGAAGAACGGCATAGCATCACTTTTTCGCTGTCGGGGGCGCCTGTCCCAGGGCTGCTGGAAAGTGGATACCCTTCCAGTGACACGTCAAAGTATTCACTTCCCAGCCTCCCTGGGGCGGGGCCCCCAAGGACGGAAAAACTAATCTCAAACGTTCTTCGCTTGCCAAGTCCTCAGGAGCCCGTGCCTCCCGAACTTCAGGCGCCGCCCCTCTCCCGACTCCAGAATGGCGGTGAGGTTCTGCAGGGCCGACTCGCGCGCGAGGTCGGGCGCGCCCGCGGCGCCGCAGGAGCTGCCGACGTCGGTGGCGGCCGCGGCGATGCCGGTGACGTCCGCGATCATCCCGATGATGTCGGCGGCGCACACCGCCTTCTGGTCGACCACCTGGGGGCAGTCGGAGACGCTCGCGGTGATCGCGTACGCCACCCAGGAGAGGCAGCTGATGGCGTTGGTGACCTCTATCGCGCAGCCCTGGGCGGAAGAGTCGGGGCACCTGGAGTGCGGGCTCGCCGACGCCTGGTACAGCGAATCGATGGCGTACCCAAGGCAAGACACGATGTATAAGACGTCTATCACGCACGTTGCCTGCAACAACTTCGACTCATTCAGTGGCGATGCGTACGTGCCGTATGATATGTTACTGCTGAGCTCCTCAGCTAGGTCATCGTAGGCAGCTTGACTGCCTGTGCCCTCCCCTTGCAAGCCTCTTGCGGAGGCAGCTGGGGAACCGACTGCAAAGAGCTGTGGCTCCAGAAGCTCTGCGCGTGCTGTCACCTTTGGACGCCCGAATTATCCGGGGTAACTCGGGTCCGGGGTAACTCGGGTTTGGATTCCCGAAAAAGGAACCCGAGTTATCCCTGACCCGAGTTACCCCTGATGATTCGGGGCTCTGGGCGCCCGAGTTATCCGGGGTAACTCGGGTCCGGGGTAACTCGGGTTTGGATTCCCGAAAAACGAACCCGAGTTATCCCTGACCCGAGTTATCCCTGATGATTCGGGGCTCTGACACCTGGCCGAGGAAGTCCTCAAAGGGATCCCGGCCGCCGGCAGACTCCGTGCTCTCCGCAGCGAGCTCGAGGGCTTCGGCCTCCACTGGGTGACGTGCAGCCGCCGTGGCTGCGCTGGCCAGGCGAGGAGAATCAGCCAGCACCTCGGCGGCGGCTATCAGGCTGCACAACACACATGCTCGAAGCAAGGTCGCGCCGCTCCTGAGAGCACGCCAACTTTGCCGTCGCAACTTGTGCATGGGTGGATTTACAGCACTTGGGGCCTAAGGTTTCTATTGCTGGACAGATGATTCCCCAATTGGGCACCATCGCTGCGCGAACTTCGCCCCAGGACGGACAGAAAGAGCCATAGAGGGCACCAATACTCCTCGAATGTGACCCGTAAACCCCAGGGCTGCCCAAGAAATCCGCAAGATGGCACAAGCTTGCCGAACCAAGCCTAAAACTTGCCCAGAGGGAACTCACGACCGCCTCAACATTAAACAAACATCAGAGCACGAACAAGTCGGGCGACGGGGGAGTGGCGGCACACGGCGAGGCCATCACGATAGTGGCGGGCACACAAGAGGAGGAGGACCGACACGCCCGCAGCTATGACAACAAATGCTGATGTTGTGAAAACGAACACCCTCCGCTTGGACGAGGAAGTGGTCGACGCGGACGCCGCGCGGGCTTCGGCAGTGCCCATCAACATCTCGGACACGCCATCGTCTACAGAAGGCCACTGCTCAGGCACAGCACCGGCACTCGCAGCCATACAGTTCGAGAGGCCTCCTGGATGGGGGCGGAGTAGATGTGGTCGGAAGATCGCGCCGCATCGCCAATACATCGGCGATGCATCGGCGACGCATCGCCGACGTCGACGTCGGCGATGCATCGGCGACGTCGACGTGAAGCAAATCGGGCTCCACATCGAGCCGCATCGGCGATGCATCGGCGATGCGGCGCGATCCTCCGACCCCATCTGCAGTCAAAGCGTGTACTCACCGCGGCTGGTGAGGACGTAAGACTCTTGGAGGCGGCCGAAGTTTGGATTTTTGTTAGGCCGCGGGCGAGCAAAACCCTGGTGGAAACAGCACAGGACGGGCCGCAGGGGCGAGGGCACCAGGGACGGCACGACGCCCTTACTACGCGCGTGGACTGCACACCGACCCCACCCGGCAGGCCCAGAAGTTCGCCCTGCCCCGAACCTCCCTGCGCGCGCGTGCGACGTGTGCTCGAGCCAGAGGCTCCCACGGCGCACGGCGTCCTGTCGGGTGTTGCCCTGCTGCTGCGCCCCTGCTCCGACGAGGGGCGCTCCGCCACATCGGAGGCGACGCCAGGCCAGGGGGAACGCCGGACGAGGACACATCGGGCATCTCTGAGGACAAAATCGGATGAGGGTAGCATCGGACGATGATAAGATCGGACGAGGATACCATCGGACGAAGACAGTATCGGACGTGGATAAGCTCGGACGAGGATACGTCGGGAAGCTCCGAAAATAAGCTCGAACGTGGATAACATGAGACGATGCTATAATTGGATGAGAATACAATCGGGCGATGATAACATCGGACGAGGAAACATCGGGCATCTTAGAATAACATCAGGCGAGGATACAATCGGACGGTTATACAATCGGACGAAGATACAGTCGGACGAAGATAAAATCGGACGTGGCTAACATCGGGCAAAGACACATCGGATTCGGCGGTTCTGGAAGATATCTCGGGCGCCGCGGCCTTCTCAGAGCGTTCCGGAACGTTTGGAACCTGTTAATCCACGTTCTAGCCCAGTCCGACACATCCGCCTCCTGCCCTCAAATCCGGACGTCGGGAAAACGCTGGCGGCGGGTATTTCAATGTTCTTAGCCTCTGGATGTTAATTCACGTTGTGGGCCTGTCAAATCAGCCAAGCGAAAGACCCAACCATATGCAGTTGTGAGTCCCGCAATTGTGGCTATCGTCTTCGGTGGACCTCCCTATGGGCCACGAAACGCTGCACTGGTTGTGGAGGGCCTTCGGTGGAGCTCCCTATGGGCCACGAAACGCTGTACTGGGTGGGGGCTAACTTTGCCACTGGCGCCTTCGATGAAGCCCTATGGTGCAACGAAACGCTGTACTGGGTGGGAGGGACGCATGCGGACGGTTCCACAGGGGCCTTCGGTGGAGCTCCCTATGGGCCACGAAACGTTGTATTGGGTGGGGAAACGCATGTGGACTTTGCCACTGGGGCTTACGGGGCCACGAAACGCTGTACTGGTCGGGGGAGACGCATGCGGACGGATCCACCGGGGTCTTCGATGGAGCGCCCGACGGGGCCACAAAACGCTGTACTGGGTGGGGAGACGCATGTGGAACGTGCCACTCAGGTCTTCGGTGTTGTTCCCTCTGGGACCACGAAGCGCTATACTGGATGAGGGGAACACATGCGGGCGGTGACACTGGCGCCGCGTGGAGCTCCCTATGGGGCAACGAAACGCTGTAGTGGTTGGGGGGGACGCATGCGGGCGATAGCACTGGGACCTTCGGTGGGGCTCCCTATGGGGCCACGGAGCGCTGCACTGGGCTGGGGGGACGCATGCGGGCGGTAGCACTGGGGCCTTCGGTGGAGCTCTCTATGGGGCCACGATGCGCTGTACTGGGTGGTGGGGACGCATGCGGGCGGTAACACTTGGACCATCGGTGGAGCTCGCTATGGGGCCGCAAAACACTATACTGGGCGGGGGGGACACATTCCATGGGGCCTCGAACCGCGGTACTGGGTGGGGGGGTCTAGGGGCGGTAGCAATTGGGCCTTCGGAGGAGCTCCCTATGAGGCAACGACGCGTGTGATGGGTGTGCCAAAGTGAGGGGTGAGGGCAGAGGCAAGGGGGAGGAGGGAGGAGGGAAGGCAGGAGGAAGCAGGAAGGAAGGAGAGAACGCGGGGCGCCGTCTCTTCAAAACGAGGAGGACTCAACACCAGAGGATGGTTAGGAAAAACAGCACAGGAGAACGAGCCGGCCCTGCGGAGGGGGTGGAGATCCCCAGAGGCACAAGCAATGCGGCGCCGGGGGAGCGCACTCTCCACGCGGGGCGTCCAAGGAGCTCGGTGTACAGACGCCCCGGCTTCCCAAGTGGTGGGGAACATGATGCACTCCGTCGGCAAAGACAAACAGAACATCCAAGGGTACCCTCCCCAGGATGCACAAAAGCATCCAACAAACACAGAGAACATGACGGCACTCTCCCCGAACCGACCTCGACCTTATACCTAGGTCCGACTCTATTAAAGCGTCCCGTGGTCGTCCCGTTGGCTGTTCCGCTGCTGCCCTGGGGTTGTCCTCGGCCTTTCTCGTGAGATCCCGTGGGACCTGCAAATCGACACGCAAAGCCAACCTCATATTGTTACGTAGCTGCCACGATATGGAGCTTCTAGCGCCCTCTGGCGCCGCTTTGTGAGAACATCCGGGTCGCTCACGACCGAGCCTCCCTGGCCAGACTTTTGCCAGACCTTGCTTTTGCATACCAACTTGCGTTAATGAACGCTGGAGCCGACGGCATTACTTCAGCCAGCTAGACAGACCGAAAGGGGTGCCCCCTGCAGACCCCCTTTTATCACCCGAATGAACATGTTATAAACGGAGATCCTCCGACAGGAGGGTCATCCTCCTCCAAATCCGCCATCGTGCCTCTGGCACGAAGTGGAAGCTCATGCAGCACTGAGGGGTAGACGCTGTGCTGCTGCAGCGAGAACTGTATGCCTTGAAAGGCCCGGGCCACTCGCTTCCCAAGCCTTTCCTGAGTTTTCCGGTCCGGCTCCCGTGAGTTCTGAAGTGTTTCCTGCGCCTCTGGAGGACGCTGTGCCCCCCCCCAAAGCGACTTCCCATGAGTCCAAGAGGGCCCCGAGTCGCCGAAAGATCGCTCCAAAACGCCCGAGATGGCCTCGAGATGGCCCAAGAGGCCTCCAAGACGCCCAAAAAGGCCCCCAAGAGGCTTTTCATGACGGCCTCAGGAGGCAACTATTATTTTTCCCCCGTAGGTTTTCGAATGATTTTGGCGTTCTCGCCTTTTCTGCTCTCCGACGCTCCAAGACGGCCCAAGAGGCCCCCAAGACCACCCCTAAGACGGCCCACGAGGCGTCCAAGAGGGACCCAAGACGGCCTAAGAGCGCCCCAAAACAGCCCAAGAGGCACCCAAGATGGCCCAAGAGGGCCCCAAGACGGCCCCAAAAGGAGCTCAAGAGAGGGAACACGAGCCGAAAAGCCGAGCCTTCCGCCCGAAGATGCCCCCAGGAGGCTCCGAGGGGCGCCCAAGAGGCCTCAAGAGGTCCCCAAGAGCCCCCCAAGAGGCCCCTAAGAGGCCCCCAAGAGGCCCCCAAGAGGCCCAACGGAGGCACCAAGAGGCGCCAAAACGGCGCCCAGGGGGCCTCAAAGTGCCTCCAAGAGAGATCCTAATGAAAATCCACTGGGCTTTATACCCACAGCCCAGGTACGGTGGCAGAATAGACCGAAGGCAAGAATGATTGGCTCTACCACTCTCCCCTCCCGTCGGCTTATCGACCCCCTACTGCCCTGCAGGATACATACTCGTCTGTCTCGTCGCTCATTCTCCATACGAACTCATACAAGCCCAGCCAGACAAGGCATCGCCCCCTCCATCACCAATGTCAAGAGATACCTCTGCGCACAACATGCGTCATT